AGTGTGAAATGCTGACATAGAGTTTTTTAAGGTCATTAACGCCCTTCCTCCCACGTAGAAGCTGTTCCGCAGAGAGATTCCTCCTCCTTTCAAACCGGCCTCGGGACGACCTGACGACACCTTCTACTTTGATCCAGAGTTCACAGCCAAAACCCCGAGAGGTACTGTACCTCCTGCTCCTCCTCCTCATCCTCGTCCTCCTTGTCCTCCTCCTGCTGCTCGCCATCATACGTATTTATTTCTTCTCTGTGTTTGTGAGTCAGACTCTCCGGGGGTTCCTCCCAGCGCCAACGCCCATCAGCTGTTCAGGGGGTTCAGTTTCGTGGCGATAACAGAAGAGGACACGCAGCCGATCCCCAGCACGATGGTGCAGGTGCGTCCGCACTTATTAGACACTCAACTAACCTGATTCATAGAGGGACACCTCAGAAAAAACATGTCAAAAAGACGTCTTTGGTAGAGACCTGTCAATCAGCGTGTAGCCCCGCCCTAAAGCGTCCCCTGCTTCGTGGTCTGTTTGACTCTAAATGGACCATCATTCACTAAATGAACATCATGTTGTGTTGAAGAATGATCTGGAAACTAGAGACTGAGACCATAAACTCATGTTTACATTGTTTACTGAGGGAATAAATCAAGAGAGAAGTAGAGTCATTTCCTCATAGACGTCTATGGGAGCAGAGGAGTCGCCCCCTGCTGGTCACTACAGAGAAGTAGAGTCATTTCCTCATAGACGTCTATGGGAGCAGAGGAGTCGCCCCCTGCTGGTCACTACAGAGAAGTAGAGTCATTTCCTCATAGACGTCTATGGGAGCAGAGGAGTCGCCCCCTGCTGGTCACTACAGAGAAGTAGAGTCATTTCCTCATAGACGTCTATGGGAGCAGAGGAGTCGCCCCCTGCTGGTCACTACAGAGAAGTAGAGTCATTTCCTCATAGACGTCTATGGGAGCAGAGGAGTCGCCCCCTGCTGGTCACTACAGAGAAGTAGAGTCATTTCCTCATAGACGTCTATGGGAGCAGAGGAGTCGCCCCCCTGCTGGTCACTACAGAGAAGTAGAGTCATTTCCTCATAGACGTCTATGGGAGCAGAGGAGTCGCCCCCTGCTGGTCACTACAGAGAAGTAGAGTCATTTCCTCATAGACGTCTATGGGAGCAGAGGAGTCGCCCCCTGCTGGTCACTACAGAGAAGTAGAGTCATTTCCTCATAGACGTCTATGGGAGCAGAGGAGTCGCCCCCTGCTGGTCACTACAGAGAAGTAGAGTCATTTCCTCATAGACGTCTATGGGAGCAGAGGAGTCGCCCCCTGCTGGTCACTACAGAGAAGTAGAGTCATTTCCTCATAGACGTCTATGGGAGCAGAGGAGTCGCCCCCTGCTGGTCACTACACAGAATGCAGCTTTAACATGTGAAGCTTCAGTCTTCAGTCTTGAGGTTGAGTCAAATGTGCACATACATTGAACAAAGATAGTTGCAGTTTAAGGTGAATAAAGTAAAGCGTTTTCAGAAGAAGGGAACTCACTGTCGAGGAGGCTCTTCTCCCCCCCTGAAGAATCTAAATCCCAGGTGACCCCCCCAAGGATCACCGGCCCGGCAGAGGGGCAGAGAGAGACTTTAAATCATTACCAACTGGACGAGCTAGCAGCGTCTGCTGGAAGCGGTTAGCAGGGAACAAGAGACGGGCTCAACGTGGAGGACCACCGGAGTCCTGAACACATGGCGCCCCCCCGAGAGGCGAGGTTAAGCTCGGCATCGGGGGCCCCCACGCGGAGCACCGATTATGTGCTAGTTTCTGTAGGTTAAGAAACAACACCAGGATTCGTTTGATCAAACGGTACCCGAAGATCGCCTAAGGATTCTGTGGACCGAATGACCAGCGGAGAACCGGGTCATCGTCCAGTCGGGTTCGGTTCCGTCTCAGAGTTCTGCTTTAATCAAAAGTACGGAAGAGATGAGCAGAACTTCATCAGCAGCACATTGATGGGGCCAGGTTGGGAGACCCGATTAAATATGTAGTCTGAGAAGCAGTTTGGAACCACAGCTTCACTGGATTCTTCCCCACGATCACACGGAACCGATCCTCAACTCCACCCACGCGTCCACAAACGTCCTCGATGCCTCGCAGCTGGAGTCCGTCTCCTAGGGATCATGTTCGATGGGGGGGGTCCTCTTCATGGGTAAACTCTCTTCGATCTGAATGGCGAGTCAACGGAACCACAATGAGGACCCATTGTCTCAGCACGGGTTCCACCAGAGAGGCTGGTATTAATACAGAGGGTCACATGACAAAACCTGAGCCCCGAACACAAGCTCTGCAGCACAGAGGGAAGCATCCAGCTCGGACAGATGGATGGCAGCGCTTACGGCCATCTGCATGTGGCACAGCTCACAGTCGCTGGCACTGGAGCTCGGACTGAGTCCACCTCCCCCACCTCCCCCCCGCCTCCCCCCCGCACCCCCACCTCTGTTATAAACAATGTCGGATTGAGACGCGTCTTTGGAAGCATTTCTTAACAGTCACATCCAAGAAAAAGAAGCTGGCGAAGGGCAGCACACAATAACAGCATTCAGCGATTTCATCATCACAGAGCAGATTCCCCTCTGCTGGGTCTCGCCTCAGACATCATCAGGGAGGTCTCTCTCCAGCCTGGACACGGACACTCAAATTAGCCCCCAGCAGGACGTTTGAAGGGTTCAGGGACAGATTTTCTTTTAAAAATAAAAAAAAAACACTTTGTTTTTTGTCTTGTTTTTGTGGACCAAACATTCTCAATTGTATGTTTGACTGAAAGCAGGAGCGAACCTCCAGTTCTTTAAAGTGAAGTCAGAGTTTCAGCTTTTTTAAAGCTTTTTAATGCAGTTTTTCATCCGATTCATCGGAAAGATAATCGGCCTGTTAATCGATTATCAAAATAATCGTTAGTTGCGGCCCTCGTCCATTTAGAGTCCAACAGGCCGTAAACAGGGGACGCTACATCGTCCTCGGTCCTCATATGGTCACTTCCTGTTCACTGGTTGCTAAAGAAAAAAACCAGCATGTGACGTCATGAGTGCGACCATTTCTTATGTAACTATGATCAAAATACTGATGGGACACAACGCCTCAAATGCTTAGGAGTCAGGAAACAAGGCGTCAGGGGTAGGAGAGGACAAAGGAAGCACCACAGCATCCAGATCATCTCCAGCAGTAGTTGGTGGGATTCGGGGACAGAGAAACTCTCCACGTGGAGGGAAGCAAAATCCAACGCGTGACACGTGAACACAAGGAGACTCGAGGCGCCCGGCCCTCGTTAGTGGACACGTGTGTCCACATTAAGACCTCGTGGAAAAAAAGCTCTTTCAACTCGCCGGCGTGCTGCTCAGAGGAACGCTGGAAGGGACGGAAGACCTTCAGAAGCCTCTTCTTCCGTCCCGCTGGTCGCTTCCACAACTCCTGTTGGCTCGTGGATGTCCACTTGGTTATTTCTCAACCGGCAAACAGGAAGTGACCTCATTCGACGTGCTGAGGCACCGACATGGGGAGACCGAGAAGATCAGGAGTCGCCTCCTCAAGGCGGCGCTTCACGCAGCGTCTCCTGTGTCGCTCTTGGGAGCATTTTAATGTCTGGAAAGATTAAATAGTATTTGGAGCAACGCAGAGACCTGTCAATCACACCGTGCCCGCCCACCTCAGTTGATATTTTACCAGTTTTGCTGCAGAACCAAAGGAGAAGGTCTAGATGTTTGAGTGGAAACATAGACTAGTTACTGAAGGGAGGGGCCGTCCCAGCAGCAGTAAAGTGCATCGAAATAGATCGAGTGTGCTGGAGGTGTCACACCCGGCCAGTAAACCGCCTGAAACCACAGAAGAAGAGGCTGCTCTACATCGTCACAGCAAACACAGCCGCTGTCACTCGTTGTCATGGCGACGGGGCGTACCTCTTCCTTTGGGCGCCCTGTGGCCCCGCCTCCGGGGGCCCGAGGTGACGGGTGCGCCGCTTGCGACTCGGGGCCACGTCGGGGAGGTCCCGCAGGCCGTCGTCCAATGGGCTCGCAGCGCCGCGTCCTGCAGACGGGAAACACGTGGATGAGAGAATAACGCGGCGCGCTGAAGGAACATTGATCTTAATAAAGCAGCGTCCGTATTTCTCAGTGAGAGAAACTCTGCAGACACACTTCAGCTTTTGTATTCGGGAGCGTTCAAGTAGAATAAATCGATGCTCCATCGATTGACATCAACAGAGCTGCTGCCGCCTGTCGGGGATCAAAGAGCATTCTGGGAAGGCGGAGACGTTCTTTACGATGAGGACGTAAAGTTTTATTAAAGTCTGCAAACTAAAAACAGAAGTAAAAATGAAACCACTTGTTCAACATTAAAGGTTTTAATCGGATGAATCTGAGCTGAGATCGTTCAAATAAATGAAGTCATCGTCCTGCTGGAGACAGAAGCACGGACTCAAAGTGAGACGGTCAATGGAGGTCCGTTAAAAAGTCTTCTGGGGTCTTACTTCTGGAGGACGAGGTCGACTCCGCCTCCTCTGGCTCTTCATCGGTGCTTCCTCCGTATTCATCCTCCTCCTCCTCCTCCTGCTGCTGCTCCTCCTTCTGTCCCCCAGAACTACAGCGAACGTTCATAAAAGGTCACATGACTTCACAGTGCAGAGATGAATCACAGTAACCACGGAAACAGAAGCCGCTCTTGAGCAACTAGAAAAGTTCACGAGTGTGGAAACCGTGCGGCTGAATCATTCGTCTCGTTTGAAGCGGCGTAAACTCGGTGAGGCGTTAGAGAAGGAGAGGAAGTTGGAGTGGACGCGTCAGACGGGCGTCCAACGCGCTCAGTTAGCGTGAACCCAGTTTGACCCAAAGCAGGTGAAGTGTTAGCATCAGTAGCATCAGTAGTAGTAAAGCAAAGCGCTAAAGACGAAGTTTACGCGCTGAAACAACTAAACTCCGTCGAGGAGTAGAAGGTTTGCAGTGTAATTCACACCTGGTTTCCTTCAGGAGGCTTCGGGATCTTCGCTTTCTTCTCGTTGAGGACCAAAACAAAGCGAGAGTAGAGCTCCGCCTCCCAGGGCCTCCTTCCCTCCGGCGTAACGCTCCAGTCTTCAAGGTGCAGGAACACACGGGACATAAAAAGTACACAACGCTTCAACATTACACCTGGACGTTCATCTTCTGTTTCTATCTTTGTAGTCGTGTGATTTGTGTCCCGTTGATTCCATGTGTCCTCGTCTGCTTCTCAGTCCTCACTCTGCAGCCACGCGCTGCTGTTCTCGGGTCAGCCTCTGGTTCTCCTCCTGCAGGCTCAGGTTGTGGTTCTCCAGCGCGGTTCCCCTCTGCAGGCTGTGCGTCAGTAACTCTCTCACTGCCTCCGCCGGCCGCGGGTCGGCCATCAGCTGAGCAGAACCCAACCGGAACTGTAAGAGAGAAACGACCCAACCAGTGAAACCACTTTCATCTGGATGCTCCGTGTGACCTGGTCACTGCCAGATGTTCATCCTCAGGGGGGTTTCCTTTGAACATGTTACCATGACGACGGCAGCCCTCCTCAAACGCCAACCACTGATTCTTTCACTTCGTCTTTCACTCCATCAGACGTCACGCATGTAAGACTCATACGTTGAGCAAGAGGAGAATCCAACTCTACAACATTCATTTCCCTTTTTATTGAAACAGCCGCACTCAGGTTTCCATTCGCCAACGGCTGCCATGGCAACGCGTTGGCAGGGCTGACCCCAGTTCACTCGGTGCGCTCATGATCAGAGGTTTAAAGCCTGTAAACACTCATCTTTCTACTTCACATCCAAAGACAAGCGGATGGTTCGGTCACTCACAGAGATGTCCTTCT